ATTGAGCTTGGTTGGGTGTTTAAAAAACTTGAAAAGATGACCCCCAAAAAATCCTGATTAAATTTTCCTGAGCTTCTGTGCATTTTCAAGCATTTGTGAAAGGCAGTTAATCGGATTTTAAAAGACGTCGCTCATACATTGTGGTATTGTCAGGTTTTTGTCCTTGTCCTTCATTCTTTGTGCCCTAGTAATAGTGGTGAAGTAGATGTAATGCCCGGATGAAATCCAGTTCTCCTCCACATCCACAATTTATGACGACACTAACAGTAAAGACAACAAACCTTTGGACCTCTACTTTGGAAGAATGAGCTTCAGCCACATTTCTCATTTCTCCTTGTTTCTTCCTGCTTCTCTTTCTCACGTCTCTACTCGCTATCAACCCTCAACTCCCCTCATGTTGCCCTACCCCCCTCCCCCTTTTTTGCCCACTTCAAAACCCCAACCCCGCCCTGAAACCCATCCACCCAACCACCCCACTTCACTCCAGGCATGGCCTCCATCTTGATGTCGGCAGTGGGTCTCGGCGTGCACTTCACCAATGCCCCCCTCCCTCAGCAGCAGCATCTGCAGCAACATCTCCATCAGCAGCAGCAGCAGCATCCTGCTCCTCTTTCTCTTCCTCCGCCTCCTCCTCTTCTACCTCCTCCCCCTCCTCTCCTCCCATCAGCCAGCAGAGGCAGCAAACCCCTCAGCAGCAGCAACAGCAGCAGCAGCAGCAGCAGTTCAGTTAGGAGAGCAAAGAGGCAGCACAGGAGAGGTAGCTACCACCACCTTCATCCTCCTCTGCTCTCATCACTACAGGCCTGGACATCGTTCATGTCGTTCAGCATCAGCATCATCATCATCATCATCATTCACACTTTCATTTGTCTTGTCAAATCTTTCAACCACTGCACTTTGCGTTTTTGTTCAACTATTAGAGAAGGAACAACAGTTTTACTCAACTTTCAAAACCGATTCCTTCCACGGTCTTTGCTTCAACTCTTCCCTTTAACGTTCCCGTCATTCTCTACCTGTAACTCCTGCTTACTGCCTAATACTCTTCCATCGCATAGTTGTTGAGCAGCTCTTGTTGAAAATAGGTGTGAAACACGTGGACCAGTGCAAATTAAACACCAAAATCAGCACTTCTGCTCAGAGTGACAAAATAATGGAAAAACCAAAAGCACAGTAACGTAAAATTAAGGAAATTAAAAGACTATGGGAGAATTCCTGAATCTTTTCTGCTAGTTTTCCTGCAGTGTATACTTTTAAAAAGTAATGTGGTTCCTCTTTTTTTTTTTCCTGGCGAACATGATGACTAAGACCTGCAGTGATTTATATTGTGTCACCTTTCCCTGAGAACCAGTGACCTGAGGTACAAGGAGTCATGTCAGAGGGAAATAATTGGTTTCAAATCAGGCTGGAACATCTCAGACACGTTATTATATACAGTACAGTACTGTGTAAAAGTTCTACTTTATGCAGTTTTGTTGTAGCCTTTTTTTTTTTTAGCATTCAAATCAAATTAAAAAACTAGTTTCTCTTTCTCTACAACACAGTAAGTTTTGTACCTTTTTTTTTTTTCAAACATCTGGGTCGTGGGCAGTGGGTGGGTCCCGCTGATGGCTCTGTTCGCACAAAACACAGACCTTGTTACCATCTTATTTTCCCACCCAATAAATAAAAGTAAAACATTTGAATTTATTTTAATGTTGTCCATAAGTTTTACACAGTACTGTACGTGATGCTAACGTGTTCGATTTGAAAAGGTTGTTAGTCAATCAATATCTTTTAAGTTGCATCACTGACCAAGCCTTTAATTTAACCAGTAAAATAAGTTATTAAATAAAGTTATCAATACATGAAATATAGAAACAACAAATCCAAGTGTCAGGATCAAACCAGGTCGGTTGTTCTACTCACTCAACTGTCGTCATCTTCACTGCATCATCTGCTTTTTGTTCTTCATGTGTCTCTCATCATGTTTGGAAACATTTTGTCCCATTTCTTTTCACTATTAAAAGAGAATCAAAAAGGAGAGTTTTATAACTTTAAGTGTTTTAAAATAAAATGGTGTCGACATATTTCACCTCAAATATTTAAAAGTTATGTTTTGAATTAAAACTAAGTAATTTGGGCATATTGAGAATTTTTTTTATTTATTTTACAATTTTATTTTTCATAAAATGTGTTTACACCACCACCTGCCAGAAATACCTACAGAAATTAACTGCTACCAGAAAATATCCATTTAAACATTCACTGAAAACTAGCATTCGTTTACAATGCATTAATACGTCAGTTTTCTCTTCCAGCCTCGGCTCAGAAACCCGAGGAGGTGATTCGTCGTTACGTGGAGGTGGTGGCTGCCGTGCCTGATGAGGTACAGTTTAACATGGCTGATTCTCAGGGTCTTTTTTTCTACAACTATGACACTCGGGTCACACCGTTTTCCTGTTTATTTCACCAGGACTGTATTATCTGCATGGATCAGTTGTCTAATCCATCCGGCTACGACACCGTGTCCACAGAGGACGGAGGCCAGAGCATCCTGCCTGACACTGTGGGGAAGTTCATCAAATGTGGACACACCCTGCACATGCTCTGCATGCTGGCCATGTACAACAATGGCACCAAGGTACTTTAAACATAGCAGATCAATTGTCTTTTTTGTTTGATGACCTAATTTAAACTTTTTTCTGGTAGCAATACCAAATTAGTCTTTAAGATTTTTGAATTAATAACAGTATTTTCTGATTTTTCTGAGTTTTCTTGTCCCTTTTGTTTTTTGTTCAAACAAAGTTTTGTTGTGCTTTTTGTTTTTTTGTTCATGCTGCTGTTATTTTCTTTTTCTTTTTTGTAGTTTTCATCCAACTACAATAGGTTTTGGGGAAAAAATGCTGGTAGCTAACTTTTGTTTTCGCAGCATTTCCTGACTTAAATCTCCCAAAGGTTTTCGTGCTGTATCTACTCATGTCTCTGGTTATTTAGCTGACATTATGTCAGAACATATTATTGCACCAATAATCAATGATGGCTCTGGTTATTTAGCTGACATAATGACAGAAAATATTATTGCACCAATAATCAATGGTGGCCAAAACTCTACAATTGTCTAATGTAGCATAAGGTGTGAGAAAGACTTTCAGAGTGTAACTCACAACACAGCAGCAGCAGCAGCAGCTTCTTTTTTTGATACTTATTGACCTCAGAAGAGGTTTTGTGACTTGGTGACAAAGGCAAAGTCTCATCACTGGATCAATGTGTATCTTATCAGCTCTTACCTGCTTTGTATTGATTTGTCTTGTCCTGAGGGCTCCGTGTGTGTCGACGCTCATGTGCCTCTTGTCCCCAGGACGGCAGCTTGCAGTGTCCCTCGTGTAAGACAATCTACGGAGAGAAGACGGGCACTCAGCCCAAAGGAAAGATGGAAATTTACAGCATCGGCCAGTCGCTGCCCGGCCATCCAGACTGTGGAACCATCCAGATCATCTACAGCATTCCTCCTGGAATACAGGTCTGTGCACTTTACAGAGTTTCTGTCGTGTACAGTACACCATCAACATCTAGCACAGTGGGTTGACCGGGGCCCAGTGAGGCAACCCTCAACCCTAAACAACCCCTGCAACATTTCTTGGTTGCCATCAGCTTTGGGGCAACTCTAACCATCCCTCTGTTTTATAGTAATGTTGTCCTTTGACCACTAATGCCTCTGTGCCTGCACCAATGCCTTGATGTGACACCTGTCTGTTTAAAAAGTGACACGTATAAATCTGTGAGGGATGGTGAATGTTGAGGACACTCACTCTGAAACTCACTTCAGCAGTTAAATGTGGCACCGTGGTCACGGCTCCGTCCTCCATCAAGTCCTTGTGGGAGAAGTCTCACGTCTGTGGAAGTGTTTCACTCTAACCTTCAATCAGGACGAACTGCAGCAGCTGAAAAAAGAAAACAAAAAACGCCAACCTGATTTGTATCGAGCTGTAAACCATCTACCATATACTCCGTTATTAAGTTTGTTTGTTTTTTATGAGTCCAACTAATTTGAGGTATTAAACTTCATAACTTTTCATTTTCTGCCAACTTCAGGGTCCAGAGCATCCGAACCCAGGGCAGCCATTCACCTGCAGAGGTTTCCCAAGATTCTGTTTCCTTCCAGACAGTGACAAAGGCAGGAAGGTCAGTACACAGCAGGAGTTAGCAGCGGCTTGGGGGGAAGTGACCTAGAAATATGTAAATGTACTCTTAAAGTTCTTTAAGAACTTGGCTTTTACTGCTTCTGGTAAAAATAACGTGTTTTGCAAAGTTTTGCAAAATCCTAAGTGATACAGTACTTTCTTTTCTCTGTTCTTCATCTTCGTTCTTCTTCATTTTCTTGGTGTTAAAAAAAAAAAAAAAGGTTCTGGAACTTCTGAAGGGGGCGGGGATGCGTCGGCTCATCTTCCCTGAAGGAAAGT